ATCAAGATCACATGAAGTGTTGGATAGCCATTTGTCTGAAACAGTTTAGAGTTTCCTACCTAGGCAGGGGGTAGAAGACATCCAAGGTCCCTTCCAACTGTCCTATTGTATTGTATTACCCTTTGCCTTCAAAACAGCATCAATTCTTACACTTGCACAAAGTCAGGGATTTTGTAGGATTAGAGTTAGGTGTATGATTAAACAATTATACCAAGGTCAGATTATGGAAGACAGTTTCATGCCACAAGTCATACACCATGGCAAAACTGAGCACAGGAAAAGACAAAAAGTGGCTATACCACATTAGTAAGTTTTCTCTTAGGCAAAGATTTCAAAGCAGATTGGGGTTTCAAGATCTGCTGTCCAAGCTTCTTTTGGAGAAGCACAAAGAAACAGGCCATGTTGAAGACGTAGAAGAGATGAAAGACACATCATGCTTACTTCTTTGACATTGGAATATGTCCAGCAGTGCCATCAGTAGAGAATTGGCAGAAACCAGAGGGAACCAGGTACACCCATCTATTGTCTGGAGAATTCTGGCCAGAAGTGGTCTTCATGGAAAAATTGTGACCTAAAAGCTATACCTCTGACATGGAAACAAGGTTAAGCGACTCAACTATGCATGAAAACATAGGAACTGGGGTGCAAAAAAAAAGTTCAGAAGTTCTGAACTTATGAGTCAAAGTTGAGGTATTTAGCTGCAGCAGGAGCAAGTTTGTTCCTCAAAGGACTGGGGAGCAGTACAATAGTGAGTGTCTGCAAGCAACAGTGAAGTGTGGGGGGTGTTCCTTGCAAGTTTGCAGCTGCATTTCTGAAAATTGAGTTGGAGTTTTGGACAGGATCAATGGTGTCCTCAATGCTGAGAAATATAGATGTATGTAGAACATCAAGACCTGCATGAATACACCGATGCCGTATTCTCATATATCAAAGTTTGCACTGATAGCGTAACAGTGGACAGGCGCATCAGAGTCTATGGGAATTTCAAACCCTGGATGATTGCCAACGTACAGTTGCTTCTGAGAGCCAGGGATTCTGTCTTTAAGGCAGGGGACAGTGATATATAAAGATAGGCAGGGCAAACCTCAGAAGAGGCATTAAGAGGGCAAAACAACAAGACAAACATAAGGTGGAGAACCATCTAGCAGACAACAACCTGAAGAAAGTGTGGCAGGGACTGCAACATCTAATCATAAGGGCAACATGATGAACATGGTCAACACTGATGCCTCGTTGGTAGAGGAGTTGAACAACTTCTTCACCTGCTACAAGGTGAAAAGACCAGACCCCATAGCCTCTGCCCACCAGCCTTCTGATTCCCAGCCACTCACTCCTTACCAACACCAAGTGAGAGCTATATTGAAGACTGTGAATCCTAGCAAAGCTGCAAGTCCATATGACGTGCTGGGGATAGTGGTAAAGAATTGTGCTGATCAATTAGCAGGGGTCCTGACAAGGATTTTTAACATCTCCCTGCAAACAGCCAATGTTTCATCATGCTTGTAAGCAGCCACTATTGCCACAGTCCCAAAGAAAACAGCAATTAACTGCCTAAATGACTAGAAACCAATGGCACTAATGTCTGTAGTTCTGAAATGCTTCGAGAGATCGGTCTCCAACTGTTGTAGCATAAGTGCAGGCATGCATAGGTATGCTGGAACATGTATACATCAGCAGTAATGATTTACTATACCATAAGGTCAGTAACACAACTTGCTGACTTTAAGCATTATGTAGGGCAGAGGTTACAACTTGCTGATTTTAAGCATTATGTAGGGCAGAGGTTACAACTTGCTGACTCTGAGCATTATGGGGTCAGAAGTTTGTGTGCCAGTAAAAGATTTACCTGCTGACTATGAGCTTTACTAGGGTCAGAGGTTTGTGTGGCAAATAGATGATTTACCATATACCATAGACTTGTACAACCATGATTGGCCTACATAGACCTTGCAACTCCACCCTTCCTTTGAGTATACTCAA